GGAGCCCGATGCGGGGCTCGATCCCAGGACCCTGGGATCATGACCTGAGCCGAAGGCAGACGCTTAACGACTGAGCCACCCAGGCGCCCCGATGTATATGTTTCTAATGCAGTGGTTCTCAACCGGGGGTGATTTCACATTTGGCAAAGTCTAGAGACATCTTGGTTGTCACAACTTGAAGCAGGGGTTAGGGGCATTGAGTGGATGGGGACCAGTGATGCCTCTCAACCTCCTACAGTGTACAGGATGCCCCACAACAAAGTTACCGGACCCCAAAGGCCAGTAGGGATGGGGTTGAGACACTCTGCTCTACTGGGATGACAAGATTCCTTTTTTTAAGTTACAACTATTTTGGTAGAGACTGATCTAGACCTTTTACCAGTAATGATGGTTAATTCTTTCAAAGAAATAGCTCTCCTCTAGGAAATAGGATGCTAATTGCATTTCTCTGCCAAATAGCATTTACTGTCTTTCCTGGAAAATTATATCGATGGCTAGGCAAGCATTTCATTATCTTTTTAACATTTTGTAGAGGAAAGTAGACATTCGGGGGATATTTCTTAAGTTATAGTTTATTTGGTCAGTGATGATTGGGGAGACAGAAACCTGTCTAAGAAGCTAAAAAGAAAGATTTCGGTTGGGGTGGTGGTGTACGTTCCATGACCTTCTAACAGGTGCAGTGTATATCTGGCAAGTAAAAACACACTACTAAAGTTCTGCCTTATCTTGGTCACATATTTTGGCTTTCAAAAAGGTAGTCACATTATCAGTCAGCTTACTGACAATCTCCAGGGAGTAATGTAGGAAATTAGAAACTCCGTGGAGCGGACTCAGGAGAGCAGGGAGAGTGCATCTCCCAAACTGCTTTCAGAACATCACGTAGGAAGCTTGAAATCACTCATGGTAGTATTTTCACCTTGGAAATTGCAATCACCAAAAATCAGTATTTTTCCCTTGGAGAGTCATTTCTTAAACCTTTACCAGCACATCCTTGGGTGGGATTGGGGATACACACCCATGAGTTTTCCACTGGCGAATGCCTGAGCACCAGTACCCACCCCCGAAGTTACTCTTTCAAATTTATTTCTCCTCTCTTGTTCTGTATTTCTGTGTCCTCCTCCCATCCTTGAGCCAACCGTGCTAATAAGTTTAATGTGTATCTTTTTGTTTGTATTCATTCTTCTAAAATGTGTTCTGCTGTTCTGTGCACCTATTTTAAATTTCGTAAATGGCATTACTATAGGTTTCATTTTGTATCTTACTTTTTTCACCCGATGGTTGTTCAGATCCATCCATGGATCCATGGCACCTCTAATCCGTTGCTTCTCCTTGCTGCATTATACCGAAGTGCGTCCACCCCATTTGGCCTGCGCATGCGCCCAGCTCCACCCAGCTCTCCTCACCGCGCAAGTAACAGCGCTGCTTAATCACCGGGACAGTTGAGCGGGGCTGCGCTGGAAAGCGCCTGTGGACATAGCCTCCGCCCACCCCAGCGTGAGCCAGCTTTCTCACTTTTGCCCTCTAATACAGGTGTAAAGAGATACAGCTGCTTTTACCAGGCAGTCTTCGTAAATTCTCTTTTCCTGCACGGGAAAGGCCCCACGACCTGCTGCTTCTGCCTTTGGTAGCCGCTTGCTCCCTAATCTGTCCCTTGCAATTTCTCTGAAGGCTCTGAAATTGGAGGCAGCTTTCTGAGACTGCCGCTTTCCTGTTCCTCCCAAAGACCTGCTTGTGGGCTTAAGGGTTTCTTTGTTCATTATTGGTTAACGGACCAGGCAGATCAGAAGCAGGCCGGTCAAAGTATGATTTTGACAGGTCTTGAGGACATGGATCACTCACGATGCGACTCTTGATTCTTCTGTAAAGATGTCAACTGTACCCAATGGGCCTTCTATCCTGGGACCTTATTTTTTCAGAGAGAGAGTGTGTGGAGGGGTGGGGGGCGGACAGAGGGAGAGGGGGAGAGAAAGACCCTTAAGCAGACTACACGTCCAGCACGGAGCCTGGCGCGGGGCTTGATCTCACGACCCTGAGATCATGACCTGAGCCAAAATCAGAGTCGAACGCTTAACCGACTGAACCGCCTAGGCGCCCCTCCTGGGATGGTATTCTTAAAGCTGAGGAGACCTTCCCCAAGGCAGGTAAGTGAAGCCCCCAAAACTGCAGTCAGAGTAGAACAGCAAGCGTCTACAATGGGCAATTTCTGCTTAGACGTCTGGACTGGGTAATAACCCATTTCTAGAGCCCCACTCAGAGGGGTTACTATTAGATACTTCCTTCCACATGCAATGCATAGAATTTTCTTTCGGATTGTAGAGGAGACCCTTACCTCTTGACTCTGAGACAGAGATACAAAAGGTGAGGCTGAAAGGATAGCAGCCAGCTCTGCTTTCAAGCAACTGAAGAGAAGGCGCCCGTCACCAGGGGTCTTACCCTAGGCGGAAGCATGGCCCCCCTTGTGCCTGCACTGCGCCCGAGCTGAGGTTGCTGTGCGTCCACACCAAGGAGGAGACTTAGGTTTAATACCTGGTGTCAGGAATAGCAGGGACCGAACACCAGGAAGACCGAGGCTATGGAGCTCGCAGCCAGCGTTCAC